CTTCAGGAACAATTTCAACATACACGACAAACTGTTTTACTGGAGAAAAAAACAAAAAACAATGAAACTAAAGCTTCCTCATATATATGATTGCAACACCAAAATGCAAAGCTTGCAGATTTTTCTAAGTGCTGATTTCAACATAGAAAAATCCAAGTCATTACAGTCATTACTCAACCTTAACAAGCTTTCTTACAGATACAATGATATCTCTGGCAGCACTCTGATCTCAGTTATGGTAACAGACTCATGAAACCATGTGATCTCTGTCAGTGTAGGGTGGGGACATCCGTAAAAGAGAGTACCCAGAGGGGTGAATTGACTTGACCCAGAACAGGAAAAAACAATTACATCTTAATCAGAAAATAAAATAAAAATTAAATATTTTGCTGCAGGGCTAGTTATGATGATACAGTTGTGTTGCCTTTTTTTTTTATACAGGGCAACAACTGCCCCACCTGCAGGGTTCACTGAAAATATCTTTTATCATTTCATCATGAATCAGAGTCCAGAAAATTCAAATCATTTCAGAGTTTATTCTGGTCATAGAAAACATGACAATTTGGTATTTTAAATAAAAAAAATGTTTAACAAAAGAGAGCATAGCAATGTCAGCAAACAACATCAACACACTGAATACTACTGATGCAGAAGCATAAAGTCACTGTGGTATCGCAATGAACAAGTGGGTGTGCCAATTCATTAACACTAACCCAGGATTAGATAAGAAGTTTACATAAATATTATTTTATTCAGATTCTGACCCTTATTCTTAACACAGACAGTGGGAAATAAGGGAAATATTTTGACATGCATTGTATATGGTCTCAATAATTTCGTTTTACTCGTTTTACGTTTAATTTCCTGTTACGTGAAGCTACATTAATGTAGCTACTCACCAGTGTAGCGTAGTGTTGTCAGTAAACAAATACATTTAGATTTTTTTTTCCATTTGGCATTGATTTACTCCAAATGTTGACACATACTGAAATATCTCAGAGCAGTGTAAACTTGGCACCATTTAAAGGACCAGTGTGCAGGATTTAGTGGCATCTAACGGTGAGGTGGATATTGCAACCCTCTTACTCCAAAAAACTATGGCTCATTCTAAGGTAACAAAAAAATCACAATTCTTGAATTATCTTTTTAATGAAAGTAGTTATGCCTATTATATCCAACTTCTGCCAATATATCCTCCTAAATGTTACACACTAGACCTTTAATAAAGAAATAAAGCACAAGCAGGTACTCAAAGCCCTTGAACAAAAAAGCTTAATGAATTATACACACTTAAATACTCTACTTTTATGGCAACTACATTATGTGACTGTCAGGGCAGATGTTTGTAAAGTCGCTCACAGCTATAAACACGAGATGTTTAACACAAATGGTAAATATATGCATGCTAAAATACTACAGATAG